TGTAGCAGAATTTTTATTATTTATTTATTTGAACACATAAATATTGGTACAAGAGAGCGCCAATATATATGCGCCACACAGTGTAGCAGAAGCCTCTGCATCAGTAGATCTCAACATACACGAAGGAAAAAGCAAGATCCTCAAATGCAACCTGGAGAACACCAACCCAATGACACTTGATGGACAAGATCTAAAAGAGGTGGAATCTTTCACGTACCTGGACAGCATGATCAATGAACAAAGAAGAACTGATACAGATGTGAAGGCAAGGATTGGCAAAGTAAAGGCAGCATTCCTACAGTTGAAGAACATATGGAGCTCAAATTAACTGTCAACTAGTATCAAAGTGAGAATCTTTAGTGCGAACGTCAAGAAAGTTCTACTGTACGGAACTAAAACTTAGAGAACAATCACAACCATTATCAAAAAGGTACAAGTGTTTATAAACCATTGTCTATGCAAGATACTCAATGTCCGTTGGCAAGATACAGGTTCTCATCATCTGCTTACAAATTATAATATTTAAGATGAATTAATATGAAAAACAGTAAAGAAAAGTTTACTAAAGTAAAGCTGAGTAATTTTATTTTTGGAGATATTGATTTCTGTTATATCTGGACGAGAATAAATGAATGGTGACTATCAAGTAACTATATTGTATGAATATTCATATTTCTTTCATTTTAAGACTGTTATATGATATACTATTCTCAAGTTATTCTCAATCTATCAGTCACAGTCTGTTACAATCACAGACATTTTTGACTTGATCTTGTATAAATGTTACTTTCTATTTTATGACGTGATGTGGTCTGATTTTACCTGTATAGAAATCAAGTATGTTTGAAATAGATAATTCGATATAACATAGGCTGATATTTGTGTTCTGAACTGAATCGACTGAATTAGACGAAAAGCTGCTATCTCAAGGACCAATAAGAAATCTAAGCTGCTCATACTGGCTTATAAGTCGTTGGTCCGGTCAGTAAATCGATGACTCTAATTGGTGATTGTATCACATGATATATTAACAAGACATAAGTTATAACAGTTACAATGATTAGTTTCCTTTTTTGAGATAATTTCAAGTTTTATAATGAATTTCAGATTAATTTCAAGCAAATATAAACTTATTAAAATTGTGAATGATACTATTTGTTTCTTATAGACCCTTGATAATTTTCTAAATAAGTTGACTTCGTTAACTTAGTTTGTGAATGGATATATACATATATATATGATTATTTAGGTCGTATTTAGTCATTTGATAAAATGATTTGTTGTGTTCGTCATTCACATTATGTGTAGATGTTTACAAAATACAGTTCTTAATGCACATATTAGACTACTGAACATAACAATCAAATAACCAATAAAACATGAACAAATATGATTAATTTTATTTAGTTTTGAGCGACACATCCACCATTGTCATCAGTGAGTTACTACTACTATTTAGTTCTGTTATAAACTATATGTTGATTAGTATCAGAAGGGGTTTTGTGGAGATTGTAGTAATTTCAACAGTTGAGATCATAAGTCAATTTAAGCTAGACCACCATGGAAAACCTGGAAGCACCGAACGGCCGTTCCGTCCTAGTATGGGACTCCTCAGCAGTGCGCATCCGCGATCCCGCTCCCCGCGAGATTCGAGCCCAGGGCTTATCAGTCTCGCGCCTGGCGCTTAACCAACCAGACCACTGAGCCGGCATCCTATGGTGTTAATTTCTAACTTCAACCAATCCACGAAATTGCGCCACTGTATACCATTTTCTTCAGTGAGCTGATATCTCACAATAGACCTGGTTGAACTCCACTAGTAACGGCTTCTCACTAGAACTCCAGGAGTATCTCTTGAAGTCAGTCTCTAGTGAGCAGATGATTAATTATCAGAAGGGGTTTGTGGAGATTTTAGAAATTACACACTGCTGAGGAGTCCCATACTAGGATGAAACGGCCGTCCAGTGCTTTCAGGTTTTCCATGGTGGTCTAGCTTCAATTGACTCATGATTTCAATCTGTGAAATTTCTAAAATCTCCACAAACCTCTTATGATAATTTTGATATTTACCAAAAACTTATTTTGAAAAAAATTACCCACAAAAAATCAATAAAACTATAATCAATAGTCGTAGATACTAAATTCATATTGTACACTTTAAATCAAACCAAAAGGCTAAATGAAGATCAGACTCTATTGGTATCATTTAAGATTATTATTTTCTCATTCATATTTATGTATTCAATAATAAAATGTAGTTCACTATTTAACATTTTTATTTATGTTTTATTATTTTAAAAAAAAGTATTCACATGAGGCCGATTCAAACAAATAACCATATGTTATTATGACCTGAAACCATTGTTCTTTAAAACAAATTAACAAACTTTAAGCGTTACCTTCTTCAAAAAAAACAAAATTATTTATTTTCTAATATTTAAAGAAGATATTACTTTAATGATAAATCATTGTTAATAATTTCTTATTTGATCATTTAATCGGAGAGAATCAAGTTTTATTGATTACTGAATATAGATATATATAAGGTATTGAGGTTATTAAGCTATAATGAAAAGAATGAATTCTGAAATATTAGAAAATGGTGAATTGTTAATAATAAGAAAGTTAAACTGATATTAGAAATCCTAAAATTGTAGTGACAGTGTGAATTTATTCGTTTTGTACTGATCTATAGCTGTGAAATATGGGCTATGTTGCTAACCCCATGTCAAACCCTTCTCCTTTGCCTGGACATGGGATCGGCAGTAACCTCAGAAGAGTTACAGGCCGACTAGACAATATTTCAGCTGAAGCACTAAAGTCATATATAGAAGTAACTGCAAACATGCCTCACATTTTATTCAGAACAAAATTTGGGAGGAAGAACAAGTGCCAAAAGACTGGAAAAAAGGATATCTCATCAAAATACCAAAGAAAGGAGATCTGAGCAAATGTGAAAACTATAGAGGCATAACATTACTATCGGTATCCGGAAAATTTCCCAATAGTTTTCTTCTTGTTCTGGTGGTTGATATGATTATGAAGACTTCCTTATCTGAGGGGAAGCATGGAATACAATGGACAGCTGTGATGACACTAGACGATTTAGTCTTCGTAGATGACCTAGCCCTTCTATCGTATACACACCAATAAATGCAGGTCAAGACAGCTAGCGCAGCAGCAGTAGGTCACAACATACACAAGATAAAAAGCAGGGTCCTGAAATACAACACATGATAGACAAGCTCTAGGCAGCATCTTCGACAAACAAGGAAGATTTGATACAAATGTAAATGCACAGATTAGCGGTACAACAGCAGCATTTCGACATATAACTGGGAAAATTTTTAACTAATAACAAAGTCATGATTTTAAATATGAACGCCAAGACATTTTTATTGTACGGAGTTGAAATTTAGAGAACTACCACAATCATCACCAAAAATGTACAGATATTTATATACAATTATCTACGCAAGATACTCCAGATTCGTTAACCGGATACCATCGGCAACAACTTACTTTAGGAGAAAACAATATGTAGAAGTAGTTTAAAAAAAGAGCAAGTTTTCTCGAACATTAATTTGCTATCAATCACTGAAATAATTATGATCTAAACATCCTGGATGGAATTTATGTAAGAGACAAACCCTTTGACGGTGAAACATGTTTAACTGAACTTTTTTGATATGGTCATCTAGGCCTTACCACTACATTGGCATCAACCACGAACCTTTGTTTTCATGATGCTATGAAGAACAATTGCACTAATCATCAGTTAGTCTTATCCCAAAATACTAAATGGCATCGTCAGTGGAAGGCGTATTGGAAATGAATTTCACTTTTGTTCAAAAACTATTAGGTGAAGAGTGTTAAATAAATAGATTATCAACACTAATAAAACGTACATTTATTTTGTAGGTTAAAAATATTTAGATTTGATGTAGTAAAAAAATAATAATTCACAAATCGACACCAAGTTTTCAAATAGAAAAATTCAATTGTCATTTATGTGATTAAACTGGACTATACCGAAATAATATGTAACCATTCATCTAAACTTACCCATAATGTATTGGGTCTAGTTGAATCCTTAATCGTAATGATATGGATTAGTTCCATTTGAATATATTCAAAGATTAATCTTTTGTGAACACGTAAGTTATTGCGTTTATTAACTTAAAATTATTGATAACATATCATTTATTTATTTTAACAGATAGATATCGGTACAATGGAGCACCAAATACATATGCGCCACACAGAACTCATTTGATATGTGTGAGGGCTGTGATACTGACCGGGTACCCAAACCGAAGCAGGTCGTTTTCTTAGGAGACCACACCCGGAGCCTTCGACCTAAAGGTCTGATTCACAAGGCAGTGGAGCAAGGTAAGGAGATGCAGTCCCATCGTAGCAGATGACCAACGATCGGTTCATACGCCATTTGTTCCTTCGGGATACTGAAGCCCATGTGCACCAATGGTTTGGAATCAGGGTTTTCCGACTCCCCTAGGTGGACTCTCCATGTCCACCAACGCGTTTTTCGTCCTCTCAATTCCGTAAACAACACCCCGCCACGAGAAGGTAGTGAGTAGAACTCTTGAAACAGTGACTATATACGCGTGGCCATGTGAGAGCATTTCGAGAGGGAGAGTGAGCTCTCCTCACTCTCGACCGTACCAGGGCATTTGAGGGCATTGATAACATATATCTTGATTGTTATCGTAACTGCTTCCCAAGATATGATTGAAAAAACATATATATTACATATTTTCTAATATTCCAATACTTCAATAAGTTACTGATTTGTTTAAAACGGTTATCACGTTACAGAAAAACTCTGAATAATTTGATAAACTAAATCTAACTACTTATAATCATATAACTAGTCATAAACATTAGTAAATTTATTACTAATGAGTACAATAGCTAATGATTCCATGTTTTTTTTATGTACCTGGTTTATCCATAAAATAATAAACAATGAAACAAAATTTTAATCAACATTTAGATTTATTCAATCTAATGACAAATACAAAAAACAATTTAGACAAAAATAAGAATCAAAATAAAGAAGAAAAGCCAAACAGCACAAATTAAGACATATAAGCAGACAGAAAAAAAACTAGATGATGATATGCATCGAAAATTTTTATCTTCTTTTCTTTTCTTTTTTTTAAAAAAAAGGAAAAGAAAGTAATCATGAACATGAAGTATTTGTTATGATGAATGAAAAGATGAAGACACATAAGTGAAGCGTAATAATTTCAACATATTCAATAATATTACCCAAAATAAGACAAATATCTATGAAAAATATCAGGAATGCTCTAAATTGTCATGTTATCATTAAATAGGACTGAAATATATCCATCCATATTGAAATAGAACATAAACATGGAAACCAATGATTTCAATTGAAAAGAGGAATCATATATGAAGATGAAAAACTTTGAATGAAGAGAGTCTACTATGTAAGATATGTGCTGCTAAAGAATTCAAGCCAAAACTATTATTATTATGTGTACATGTTAAAATACTAGAAAAATAATAATCACATTAAAATCTAAGACTAAATTACAATAAATGAAGAAACAAAAGAAAATCAACAAAACATTGTATCAACTATATATTTGTAAAAGACACACATACACACACACTAAGTATAATAACCATTTGAAGTATACAGTAGGATAAAAAGAAGAAATCTGCTAGCATTTCATCTGTGAATAGCATAAAAATATAATGTTACATTATTGAAGATTAAAACAATTCATTAAGCATCAGTCAGTAACAACGTAAAACTTTGTACGTACGTACATCAGTTCGAGTTTCCACACCACATTAGTATAAGCATAAGCATAGATGAAACTCTGCATAAAATGATGTTTATAAATGTTTGGTAGCTATGATCTATTGTGAACGTTTAAAAAACAATCATTAAAAAATAAATAAATAAACTAGGAAACAAAATAAATAAATTTCATAGACAAACTAACAACATGAATATAAACACATACAACAATAAACACTCGCGGGAAAATGAAAAACAAAACAAAACAACAACAACAATACAATAACAGAACTTTACACAGAAATCAATTTCATGATGACAGTAATAATATGACTAAAAATGCATCAATACATAAACGCGTTAATTCATTAGTCGATATTCCACAATTTTTGTTTTCTTTGAACAATCTATTCAGTGATTATTATTTCATCTTTTCTAATACTTGTTAAAGATGAACAATATTATTTTACACGATAAAAGAAGAACTTTTAAAAAATCAAACAGAAAAAAGGGAACATAGTGACAGGATACAAATAGAAAATATAATTGGAGGAACAAATTATATTGTTCTTATAGAAAACAAAATATGAACCACAAAAAAATGAAAACAGATTATCTTTTGGAATTTCTCAATTCTATTGAATTTGACCATCATTATATATATTGATGGTAGGAGAAGGAATGGAATGAAGACAATTCAATAATTTATACTGAACTATTTATGATGATGTAATATAATGTTTCTTGCATAATATAAATTGAAATCTCTACATGAAATACTTTTTTTTGCTCATTCGAAATAACAACAATTTCAAATCATAAAACATTTAATTATTCACAATGGCAGAGATTATGTGTATGTATTGCTGTGAACAAATATGTAAAAGAAATAAATATTTTTTGCTTCCAAACACCTATCGATATAAATTTAAGCCTTAAGCACAGACGAAATAACTCATATAGAGTAGGAATTTATTTCGGAAGACATAGTGATGGAAGTCAAGCTAAAAAGTAAATAAATATTTAAAAAAACATTAGGACATTTTAAGTACCTTATAGTGTACTAAAATAAAGTAAAATATCGTCTCAAAAGCATATGATCCTGATATTTGTCATTCATTATAAAGAACTGACAATCAAAAATGTACGCAACTTCAATAGTTGATAATCACCAATGTAACACGCTTTAGTGTGTATAGATAAAAAAAATATCTAGAAATATTCAATCTCACATCTTGTTATGTAATGTTTAGTTTTTCCGAGGAACACCTAGCTTGCATATCATACAATCACATACAATTCTCAGAACAACGAGGAAACTCATGTATATTTAAGAGATTTGTTTCAGTTGATCTTTTCTTAGAATTAAAATAAAATTTATATGAATCCACTTGGTATTGTTTTTTTGAACCTTCCTATTAATGTTTAGGACTGCGATTGATCAGTCTGTTATTGGCATATGTGCATACTGTGTGTATTACCTCGATATAGCCTTGATTCACAAGCATTATTGCACAAGCAAGTGGCTATCAGGACTCAGTAGCTAAGTGAATAATTCGATGGCATTTGGAGCGAACGGTACTGAGTTCGAGTCCCAGAGTGGACATCAATTCTGAGATGCAGGTACATTCAGCTGACGAGTCCCAAACAGAACGAAACGCGCGTCCTGGATTCCACTGCTAGCCACTATCCATCTTTCCTTATAATGCTTGCAAATTAAGGCAATACCGAGGCATACGCACAGTATGCACATATGCCAATAAGAGACTGATCAATTTCAGTCCTAAAACATCAATGGGAAGATTCAAGTAAAACAATATCAAGTGAATTAAACTTCACCCCATTGCACAAGCAAGTGGCTATCAGGACTCAGTAGCTAAGTGGATAACGCGATGGCGTTTGAAGCGAATGATACTGAGTTCGAGTTCTAGAGTGCACATCAACTCAGAGATACAGGTACATCCAGCTGTCCGAAATAGGACGAAACGCGCGTCCTGGATTCCAATGCTAGTCACTATCCGTCGTTGCCTGTATGAATATTTTTCAAAAGAGGATGATTTTTAAAAAAACTATTATTACAATTTCATTTCACCCTAATTTTACGTTATATTACTTTGAGTTATTCATTTGTTCAAGTAATATTATGCTATTTACATGCCAGAAAGACTACGATGACAAATTATTTTTCTAAAACACCAATTCATTATGAACATTAATACTTTTTTTGTTTCTTCTACTCATAGAATTACTTTCTACTACTCTTATATGCACTTGCTTTTATTTGAAACGAATTATCATTCTTTGAATGGTAATCTAACTAGTTTTCAATACGTTGTTTCTTGATTTATTGTAAATGCTGTTTCTTGTTATATACTAATTTGACAAATATATTGTCACTTTTAGTGCTTTTCAGGTGATGTAACTGAAACTTGGGGTTTTTAAATACAGTGTATTTTTTTTCCTTTTTCATAAGAGTGTTACACTTGTAGACCGATCTTGTATTTATTCTCTAGCTAAAATATAACATATTTCTAAAAAACAAAATGATTACAATTTATTAGACACGATATCACAAGGCACTTAGAAATAATCAAACTATCGAAATGTCAACTACTGGTCCACTGCTTTCAACTACATTCTACTTGCTTCAATTTGATCAAATAAATAAAAACAAATCTACAACACAAGAGCTCAGTTTATAGAAATATAAATGAAGGTATCTAAATTAGTGTTCTCAGAATTAGTGAGGAATCACGTTTAGCACACCTATATTTATCGTTATAGGTCTAATAAGTTTCAGAAATAGCGATTTTTTAGAAATACTCCCTACTAAACTAGAGTTTAACGAATTGAGCTTTCTTCTACATAATACATATTTGAAGGGGAAATTAGGAAAACACGTTGGAAGTGGATAGGACATACGTTGATGAAATCATCAAACTGCATTACGAGGCAAGAGCTGAATCGGAATCCTGAAGGGAAGGGGAAAAGAGGAAGGTCAACAAACGCAGTGTGTCGAGAATCGGAAACAGACATGAAAGGATGAATAGCAACTGAGAAGGATTGCCCAGGACAGAGTTCGATGGAGAAGGCTAGTAGGTGGCCTATGCTCCTCCACAAGGGGTAACAGGCGTAAGTAAGTAATAAATAATGCTTGAGCACATTCAGCTCCAAACAATGCACTACAAATAAGCTCTGATATATATATATATATATATATATATATATATATATATATATATATATATATAACACTTATGAAGTTAAGAAAATTTGCATAAAACTACGATGTAGATGACCATTATCCTATGAAATAAACTAACTGATCTCTTATTCACAACAAAGAATGGTAAATTCAAAACTTAAAATAGTGATAACATTGTTACTTACGTGAACAAAATGATTGAATGATTTTATTAAAACAAAATTCGATTGTCATTCAGCTGATAATTGTTTATGTGTTAAACTGAAATGCATCCAAACATTGTCCCGCTTTTTCCAGTGAGGTTATGTATATGCTCTAATGAATACTATTGAGATGAGAAGACTGTGATGATATGACTGAGAAACGATTATCTGTTACACTCACTAGAGAAGAAGTATTCCTGTTTTCTTTCTGTTTGATAGAATACTTAGAAGGCTGTGAAAAGTTTATAGTGAAATGTAATTTCAAAGGTCCACCACTTTCATTGGTTGAAACTAGTTGACCCTAGAAATAAAAATTAGGCTACATTTCCTTAGTAGAAAGAAGGAACATAAATGATTATATATATATATATATATATATATATATATATATATATATATATATATATATATTGGTAAGAATGAATTTACCGATGATATTTCGGTAAATACACACCATTTATATTCGGCTTGGTTTCAGAGTCACTAGCTTCTATTTATCTGCCAATCACCAAAATGTGCCACTTTCATGAACATAACGTAAGACCTCAATTTTTCACTTATTGTACTCATCCCTTACTGTTCAATATGCACAGATTTGTTGCTTCCCAGTTCCGCTAGTATACTCCATTGGTTTATGTTCTCGTACTAATTGTGCTAACTTGTATTTTTAAAAAGTCTTAAATTTTTTTTATTTGTTGTGACTTTAGCTACACCACAGTTCCGCGTTCGAGAGTTAAGGGACTCGTTTAGCAGAACATATATATATATATATATATATATATATATATATGCTCAGTAAGTGATATCTAGCATTTTCCCCCACATTTTATGTGTCAATCCTCCATATAAGAATGTGGTTTTCACTAGGGAATTCATTTTAATTATCAAGAGTTATCTATTTATGTTTTCTGTGAACACGCTACTGCACCGCCTTTCGACTTGTCAGATGAAAGATGAAAATAAAGTCAAAGTTACGGCTTGCAATGAAATGTCCAATAAAAACTATGTTCTTGTACCCAGCATTCATCCACTAAATAAACGGAAAAACGCTAGATATTGCGCACGCTTTGAACAGTGGGAGGGAAATGTACTTGAAATTTACACAGGTATAGCATCCCTATACGAAGACTGGATTCCCCACAAAACAAGATGATATAAAATGAATGATTGTGTAGAATATGTCTTAGAGTTCACCAAAACTATCCTAACAAAATTTAATGAACGGCATAATGTTTCCAAATACACCTTAAGATGAAAGAAAGTTGATAATCGTCATGCATAATGGTTACTTTCCCCTATATAAAAAGCTATGCAAAACGATAGCTAAATGAAAGAAGGTATATAAAACTTAGCTCTTAAAAATTGGATACCGCACACAAATTATGGATAACGTTGTTAGGAAAAGGGAGTAAAATTAAAGAGGAAATAATGGTAGTAATAAATAAGAAAATTATTAACAAGAACAGTGCATAATGAGAGAGACAGTTCAGTTAACAATACAAATGATATTTCAGAACTTCTCAAGCTAAAGAAGTGTTGGGTCGGCTTCCGGAGAACTTCAACGGAGCCTCCAGAGGCCCAAAAGGAGCCGAAGAGTCCTAGCCAATCAGAGTGTGATGGAACGTTCTAGAATTCCAACGTGGCGTGCTACTATTGGTCGGTAGCATAATGTGTTGTTATCGGATTGGCTGTAAAATGATGTTGATTTAACAGACGCCAAAATCTATAAATACCCATGATTTTCTGTACAAAAATGAACCTTGGAATAAAGTGCTTTCTCTCATTCTTGTGTCTTCTCTCTGGAGTTCAAGTAGCTGTGTAGTTCTAGACTGCGGGTTATCGGAATAGCTTAGGAATCGTATATAGCGTTCAACCTACACGACTTATCAAGAAGTTACTCTCAAATGCATAAAGAATGTAAAAGAAAATTACAACACAACCACTACTAGAATCTGTCCTCAGCCATATCCGATAACGTCTCACACCAATGTGTTTAGTGATCTCTCAGATGCCAGCCAAGGAGTCGTAATGAATCGAGAGATGTCAGTCCTATATAAATTTCTTTTATATCATCGTCTCAAGCCACTAAGGAAATACCACTCTGGGTTTTTTCAATTCAGTCCAAGTGTTGGCAATTATTACACAATGTGAAACATATCCACGCCACTGAGGCTATTGTTTCAAAATGATGACATCAATAAAGTTATTGTCATTGAACTCGAACACGCAATGTCAAAGCTAAGGATTACTGACATTGCTTCAACATTACAAATAATAATATAAAGAATTTCAAAAAAAATTAAATTGATTAAAATAGAATATGATAGTTGGTTGAATAATCAACATGGAAATTACTTGTCTGGTACGATCATTTGAATCTAATTACTGAAATTTATCGTACAGTTGAAAAAATTGAGTAAAATATGAAAGTTTCAAAGAAATTATGGTAAAGACTTACTTTTCTTTGATGTACTCTTAAGTGTCTTGTAATCATATCACGTCGAGATGCAGAATAATAACATAATGAACATTGATACGGTCTTTGACCAGTATGTGTTCGTTGATGTGTAGATAAATGATCAGATCGACTAAATGCTTGACCACATATTATACATTCAAATGGTTTATGACCTGTATGCACATGAGCATGTCTTACAAGCATATCAGAACGAGTAAACTGACGAGAACATACCATGCATACATATAAACCATTTGAAGTTCTATGCTGAATAAGTGAACTATTAATACTACTACTTTTGTTAGTATCATTAGTAGTGGTAGAAGTGGTATTACTACGTTTATTAGAAGTAAGTGTTCGTACAGATGAAAATGTGTTAAATGTAGTACAATTATTAGTAATATTCGACACAGTTTGTTTACAGCTTGATGAATTTTCACATTGATAATTATCAACATCCATAAATTGTAGGTCGGAATAACTTTGAACAAGAGTATTATTATTATTAAACATAGAAATCTGATTAACATTAGTGGTACTTATTTGATTGGGAGCAATCGAAGTGTTTATAAAAGGTAAATGAGACTGATGTGTAATAGTTTGTTCATTCATTTTCGAATTAGTAGTAATAATAGTAGTAACAGGAGTGGTAGAGGTAATAATGGTGGCATCAAAACGTTTTTCTGGAATGATATGAGTCGGTGAAAATAATGATGAATGAAGAGGTGTAGTCGAAAATTTGTGATCATCTAGAATAAAGGGTATAACAACAAAGTAAACATAAATTAATATATAGGTAAATAAACCATTTACAGAGATTACAGTGGTCACGGATTGATGTTAACTTAGTATTCGGAAGTGATAAATTACTTCATCATCGCATAAAACTTGAATGGACTGAAACAGCTGTATTTTTAAACGGGTACTGCTTCTTTTTTAATTTTTACTTAGGAACTAAGTCAGCCGAATGATTTACTGTTGAGGCTTATTGGCAGAAGTCAAAATAACATCTCTGAAAAGTTTAGATAGAGTCATTTTCTTAATCTTTGAGAATCAGAATCGTTAGATCATTTGTTCTGAGGTTGATATGAATGATATATTGGCTTCATCGTGATTGTCAACATCTCAGTAGGATAGAGCATCCCACTAAATCACATAAAATTGTTTCAGATGAAAAAGTATGGTAATAATAATGGCAGCACACAAATGGACGATTACAATGATAAGGGTGAAACTGTATATACATTTTTCATGCATTAAATGATCACTGAGCAGTAACCAATAAAATCCTTATTTAGCCCATAGTGTACTAATATTACCGCTATTATTAACGATGTAGCTACTACCAACACTTATACTACTAAGATTACTACTACCCCCATATGTAATAATCCTTTTCTACGTTCTAAATACGTCTTTATAAACATGATGATATGGAGAGTAAAAAAGTGATATACCTATTGGATATCGATATTTGAATAAAGGACTTGAGGGATATGAAACAGATGTTTCAACTGATGTATATTGTTGCTGTCTGTGAGTAGTACATGCTGAAGTTAACGTCGATGATTCTGAATTAATTGACACTGTTGTATATGGTTGACTACATACCAACAATAAAGAATTAAACGTTGAATTTTGAATGTTATGATTTTTTACTGAACTATGTATTGAATGTAAAAAATTAGGAGAGAATACAGTAGTAGCGGTAGTATTAACAGTATCGTTATTATTTATGAAATGCTTTGACATTTGACTCATAGATGTCTCTGCCAATGAACGATATGATGATTTTTGTGAATGTTGTGGTTTACTAGCATCCACTGAATTTTTCTCAATCACTTCCGGACACAATAACTTATCGTTTGAATTATGCATACCAAGTAAAGGAGTTTTCAACTGATTGTTCGAATTAATTTCCAATAACGGTGATGTTGAGTTGTCCAAACATGTATACAACGAACTATTCTTCCCATCGGTTAAAATTTGCATTACAGTCGGTTGATGATCACTTCCCTTCATATCGTCTGAATAACAGTTATTGCGCAATAGTGATTGTAATTCATTCAAGAACTATAAGATAAAATTAAACAATGATATGATATTGTCATAATCTGTAGAAAAAGATCAAAAGGTGAAACGAAGCAAGTAATTGTCAACGTTTACAAAAGTCTAGTTAGTTAAGCATGAGAAGAATAGATGTGACAATTTGTTGTTCGTCATTTATTTAACAAGTACATTTTCGTATACTCGATTATACCTCCAGAGGATCAGCTCTATGGTGTATTCAACAGGAAATCAAACAAAATACTTTTGATCAATTGAATATAAATGAACAGCAGTGAACCATACAAATGAAAAACTATCTACTATATCGCTTAACTTGACATCAAGATATATGTTAATAGGAAAGTTACAGAGAATGGAAGCACTCATCATCTACTTGATGGTGAAGATAATTTTAACACTTCAAAACCGCTCACGATAAACAACAACAAAGAAGTGGTTATGTTTCCGCGAGACTACCGCTACTTGAAGATGGAAACCGAACCCACATATTCAAAGGGATACAGCTGTAAATCTCCTATTACTCTAGTGACTCATAATTTTCATCACTCAGTTACGTAATACCTTCTCTCAGGTACTCAGTGGAAATGTCTATTCTTTCATTCTTACTTCAGTTTTGCCCATTTTACTTGGTTGGTCTATCCAATTTTATGGTTGACATTAATTTCCATTTTCTAAACATGTCTACATATGTTTTAAACTTTTTCTCCAAGGCAGTAACGAGGTAGAATGTGTTTGTAAAATCTCAGCGAATGAATTTGAAATAAATTCAACGTTTCACTGAGATCATAGGAATACATTCTTCCTCCTTAATGTCTTGCACCAACTTGACGCCCAAATACTGTAAAACTATTCATTCGAATTTAGACGAAATTTGTTACATTATCCTCCAAGAGCTTTAATAACATATAAATGTTATTCCACTTCACCACTCTGTAATTCATCTATACTTGTCATTATTCGACAGATCTTCATTAAAATGATACAAAGTATGTACATTGGTTATAAAATAATCATTAAGCAGCTGAACAAAAAGCCCTGAAGTACATGAACTCATCTTATTCCTCATGCTTTGTTATTTTTACTTTAGTCGAGATAGTAAAAAACAAAGATTTACCAAATAGTTGTCGAAATTCTAATGACCAACTAAATACCTATCTAGACTAACATTTATTAAAGTAATTGCGCTTTGTGATATATATTACCACAAATTATGTAGTCAAAAATAAAAACAAAAAATATGTAAAAAAGCACCTCATGTCTCACATTAGGATAAAAACATGGGGTTGAAATAGCTTGTTCATAATTTTCGTTATTAAAAGATAGTTTTGTTTCAGTATTTGAAGAATCGAGATTGTAAATTCTGTCATTGATGGTACTGATAGGATTCTGTGGATTCAATGTATTACAATATCGGTTGTGACTGGAAGAAACAGTTGACTGAATCATGTTCGGTTCATCTTTATATTTATTAGCCAATAATTCTCTGGTTAAAATATCACAGAGCAATTTTCTCATGAGAGATTGGAAATTTCTGATTTGATTGTCCGCTGAATTCGTCAAAAAAAGCAAAATACTCAATTTATTAGTGATATGTTATGCACAACGTAAGATTTATAAAATATTTACATAAACCTAAGAACCATGAGAAAAAAGCGAGTACAAGTTACTTAAAAACTCATTTCCTAAATATACATTTACATATTCGATTTTGAGCTAATGACACGGATTGTTTGCATAAACCAAGCAGTGGTTCAGTGCCTAAGGTAGTTGACTTTTCCCGCTTGATCTACTTCAGTTTAGGAAACTAGATTAATATAACTAGGTCTGATACTTTAAGTTTGGATTATACCTAAGCACCTGATGAATAAGTTGATTATTTATCTCTTTATTTATGACATGAAGTAGGTTAAAAAGGGATCGAATTTGTAACCTTTCGGTTGAACGTTGATTATTTTAACCACTGAGACATTGTTCTACATAAGTAGGTTCTTGTTATTTAACAAAACACTGTTTAGGTACAGAAAAAGCTTTTTCCATGTTAAACCCAAATATACTAGCATAACTCAACAACTATATAGAAATAGACGCACTGGACTTTGAGTTACAGATTGTGACGCAATCTAAAACTGTTGGATCAGCATTTCTTCTGAATTTTAACTTATAAACTAACTTTTTCGCTTAGAAACTACTCAAATGTCATAAAGAAACTGAAACTTTGTCAAATTAAACCGCAGAAAACCTCTTGCATATGATTTTTTTAATGTTCTGTAGATGAATACCTTTTTTCTACAGCTGATAACTTTACCAATTTCAACTATGTCAAGAAGTGCACATTATAAATAAAAAACTCGTAAATCCTAGCTCCTAATTTTAAAACTCCTAGACCCTTGCTCCTAACCCTAATACTCTTAGCATTAACACTACTAACGCAAACATATTGACATTAACAGTTTATTGAGCAAAGAAAACATCATAATGAAAATCGTGAGTTTTAGCAGCGAGCTGTCCATAACAAAGTTTTGAATTCTTGCAACGGTCAGCTTAATTTTGATCGGTTGTTCAAGAGCGCCAGTAAATTATAGTCTTACCCTAATAGGATAAAATGTATTTCAGTTCTAAACAGATCTGACAAATATTAATAACGTTATACAGTCATACTGAATAGATTGAAACAAAATTAACAAATAACAAGTATAATACATGAATTAGATTTCTTTCCATTGATCAACTCTTCAGGTATTGTACTTTTAGTTTCCAAGTGATAATTCGTATCTGTATTTAACGGCACCTTCATAGTTTTTTCACTGCTGTAATCTGTTTGTGTTTCTTTCAATAATGGGACATGTACCTATAATATAATAGAAAGGCACTTATAACTATGTACAATCTAATAACAGAGAAACAATGAGAAATAAAATGAATTATTCAACTTACTACTAAGTCGAAGGATTAATAAAAATAACGAACAGGAACAATGAAAGAACATTCACCAAAATTCAATACTAATCGAACAAATAATGAATACTATGAAATATTGAACATGAAATACATATTTCGATACGAAAGATCTTAGAACAAAATACACCGTAACTGCTTTAAACAAAACTACTGAAAACATCACAGCTAAAATAAATGAACAGGATATATAGCTAACAAGCACAACTCCCATGAATGTATATGAACATTATTTAATCACAGAAAAAAAGATCCATTATTTTGTAGCATTATTAATAGATCAACAAACACGAAAAAGAAACCATAACCGATCGCATTATTATCCAATACTTGAAATTTTGTAACATATTTTAAATTGATTAAGGGAAACAAAAATTAAGACCAGTTTGTGGCTTAAAATCTATGAAAATTTTTTAATCTCCACAAAGCCCTACATTGATACTAATCACGTGCTCAGAAGTGATTAACTTCTAGATGATATCCCTGGAGTTATAGTGAGAAGTAGTGGCTAGTAGAGTCCAACCATATTGGGTGTGAGAGTTATCCACTGAAGGTAATGGAAAATGGTCGCTTAATATCGTGGATTGAAGTTAGACTAGTAAACCATTGGATCCGCCACCGCAGTTTAGAGGTCAAAATTTCTTATGCGACATCGAAGACCTTAGGTTTGATCCCGAGATGCGGGGTCGTGTATGTGACTGCTCAAGTACAATACTAGGATGAAACAGTAATCCGATGCATTCAGGTTTTCGACGGTGGTCTAGCTAAGATCGATTCGTCATTTAGAATCTATGAAGACTTAATTAACAAAAAAGTACAGTATTAAAGAGTAAAAAATAACACGAAATCCACTAGACATATACATGAGCAATGGAAAACGAAATTTGATAGGGAAATCAAAAGAAAAATATAGACAATTGACATATTTCGAGTCCAAACAAGCTTATAAAATACGTCATTGTGAAATTATCCTCCTGAACTACAAATTTCTCCCACAGTTGGCTGGTGTTAGGTTTCAGATTTGACTAGTCCTTTAGCTCTGTGATAGTTGTAAGTAACAATAAGACACAAACCAAGAAAAAAAGATGGTTTAGTAAAATGGCATCATACTTAAAACTGTGATAATTCGTTACCTGCTTGTAACTGAAAACACTTTATTGATTAGAGTATGAAAATAATAATACGAAAATAAAAGCATTGATTGTATAATGAATGATAAAATAGTTGTAGAAGTTGTAAAATAAACAAACTATCATCAATTAAACAAAGATTATTAATTTCATTGAACTCATGAATCGATCAATTTTAGAACACCATTGAAAGCCTGGAAGCATTGGACGGCTGTTTGTCCTGGCAAGTGACTCCTCAGCAGTGCGATCTCGCATGCAAGATTAGAACCCAGCACACTCGGTCTCGTGCGCAAACGCTCTACCTCTAGAACAATGACTCGGTACCCAATAGTTTCAGTGTCTAACTTCAATCAATCCACCATATCGCGCGATCATGTTCTATTGTCTTCGGAGGGTAGGTGTCTCACACCCTACACGGTTTAACTCCACTGGTCACGGTTTGTCATTAGAACTTCGAGAATTCCCTCTCGAAGCTAATCACCAGTGAGCATATGATAATTTTCAGCTTGGGAGTGTGGGAATCGCCTAACATTCATCGGTTCAAAACTTCAATGAAATTCAACAATCTCCATAACCCCAAGCTGGAAAGATTACTAATTGTAGAAGATAAATTGACTAAATATCAATAAAATTAATTCGAAAGTTAAATCTATTTAGAAAGAGCACAAAAACAGTAACTAATTGATTAGGGATAAGTGAATTACAGAATGAGGGAGAGAAAATAAAGCCACAAATCACGACTATGATATTAAAAAAGGATTGAATAAATTTTCTTTTTAGAAGTACAGTTCGTGATTCCAGATGTCCATAACAAACACAATTTTGTACAGCGTTCAAAATGAAATATTTGAAAAAAAGATTTCGTTGAAGCATTCTATTTTCGTTGTTTTAATTATTCACATGAATATTAGTCTTTCATATCTCTTGTATATATGTCAGTTTTTTTTACTAATAAAACAATGGAGTCATTTTTCCAGAGATCCTGATATCAGATTTCCAGTCAATAAGGTACTAGAATCGAGGTAACTTGAACACTTAACTGAAAACTGTTCAAGGGTGGAAGGAATAGTTGGAGATGTTGATGTCAGTCAGCTACAACGTAGGACCAGGCACATATGTGCATCGGTCCAGGTTGCCATACCGCATCAGCACAATAAGATGAACACCGGATTCATAGCAGTGGTTAGGTCAAAGGTGGTAATATATAAGAGAAAGATTGCATATAGAGATATAGTACAAGAAGAAAGAATTGGCTCGTAGAAAGAAAGATATGAAGTGATTTTAATCTCTTAGTTTAAGGGAAGATAGGGTTTTGTGGCCCATTTGATCTGACTCCATTTAGATTGTACGAATAATTGTATGGATGTTTGTTATCGCCTTTTCTCGTATATCATCGTCGACTTAAATCGCGTTATCCAATGACGGAATTAAATAAGTCGAATAACGAGAATTGACTTGAGAATACGTATATTTCGTACATGAAGTGAATGAAACATAGCAAAGCAAAATGACGCACAGGGAGGATGGCTGGGTAGCCAACTCCATCTTTGTCAAGCGTTACTCAATATTTATAGTCAGACAAAATAAAGCTACAGACATGTGATTAATGGAATAAGAAGGGCACACACATATACGCTCATATAAAAACAGTCTAGATTGATAAGCGAATTAATAACAAGGTCAATGTATGGCTCAAGTAAAATGAATAGAATGGGATGTCCGAAAGCTCGAATAAAGTATATGGGCTTGGCATAATAACTGACACTACAAGGGAGTGTATACACCGACGCCATTGTGATCGATTCTGAGCCATGTCACCAAGAGTCTCCAACCATTGGTTACGAAAGTCACGCAGACCCCAACCAAGTAGTCTGCATCTACCAACATGGCTCAGACTAGAAGTTAGTGTCTTCAAGCACTGATGCCACGTTTTGGTTTGGCCGCCCCTAACTTTTTTCCAACCATCTCCAATACCGGATAGCATTGCACGTCGTGGTAGTCGGTGTTCAGGCATGCGTAACACGTGGCTCAACCATCTCAGTCGATGTAGATTCACAACCTCATCAACTGATTTACCATCATTCCCTAATACCCTGAGTCTAACCCCACTATTACTTACCCGGTGACCCCAGCAGATGCGAGCAATATTTCTAAGGCATGTGTGGTCAAATACTAATAGCTTACGAGTGTCTTCTACTCTTAATGGCCATGTTTCGCTGCCGTAAAGTAAAACAGAACGGACTGCCGCGCAGTATACTCGTCCTTTTATTGATAGACGGATATCTCGACTTCGCCACAGGTGACGTAAGTTGGCAAAAGCCAAACGAGCTTTTCGAATCCGTGCTGACATTTCGTCAGACACCAACCCATTAGGGCTGATCAGACTTCCAAGATAAGTGAAGTTGCCAACGCGTTCGACTACTTCACTCCCTATCCTTAGTTCAGGTGTTGACGCAGACCAGTCCTGAAGCAACAACTTGCATTTAGAGGGAGAGAAGCGCATTCCAAACATTCTGGCATTGTTGCTTAGTGCTACCAAAAGACTCTGCATTTTGTCAGCGTCTTCACCAAACAGGACTTTGTCATCTGTGCATTCTAAGTCGATAAGTGGACCTCCTGGATGGAGATCAATACTCTAGAACTCAGTCGACGAGAAAGTTATTTCCATCAGTAAATCTATGATGAAGTTAAACAAAAATGGGGAAAGTGGACAGCCTTGACGGACACCACTTGAGGTTGCAAAAGTAGATGACAGTTCGCCATAAGCTCTCACTCGACTAGTAGTGTTCGAGTAAAGAGCCTTTACAAGGTTTATGTACTTAAGAGGTACGCCTTTCAATGACAGACACTGCCACAGAATCTCGCGGTCTACCGAGTCAAATGCTGCTTTTAAGTCGAGAAAGACCACCATTGTCGGACGCCGATAAGTATGTCTGTGTTGTAGAACCCGACGAATGGTGAATATGTGGTCGATGCAGCCACGACCAGGTCTGAAGCCAGCTTGAGTCTCTCGTGTTTGCAGTTCACGAGTCTTAGTTAGGCGTCTGATAATTATCGAAGCTAGTATTTTAGATATTATATTAGTTAAACTAATCCCTCTATGGTTGACACAGGATGATTTTGACCCTTTCTTATATATTGGGACGATAAGTGATTGTGACCAGTTAGATGGGATAACGTCTAACTCCCAGATCTTAGCTAAAATATTAGTTAACCTAATCGCTAAAATTGGACCACCATCCTTAAAGACTTTTGGATCCAGTCCATCTGGACCAGCTGCCCTTCCTCGTTTCAGATTAACTATAGCCTTTTGAACTTCAGCAAGAGTTGGGGGGCCTACTTCAATGTTGATGATATGAAAGGGAATCAGTTCCAATAGTGTAGATGCATTCGTGGTTCGTGTCTCCCTTGCCGGAGCTAGTGGGTTTTGCACCCAAATCCCCTGGTATGGCCGAGAGTGGGGAGAGTCAGCTCTCCCTCTCGAAATGCTCTCACATGGCCACGCGTATACAGACACTGCCAGGGAAGTCCTACTCACTACCTTCTCGCGACAGGGTGTTGTTTACGAAATTCAAAGAACGAAAAGCGAATATCCTACGCTTTAACCGGGTTGGTGGCGGATACGAAGGACCCACCTAGAGGAATCGAAAAACCCTGATTCCAAACCAATGGTGCATATGGGCTCCAGGATCCTGAAAGAACAAATGGCGTATGAACCAATTACTGGTCACCGGCTACCATAGGACCGCATCTCCTGACGTTATTCCACTGCTTTGTGGATCAGATCTTTAGGTCGAAGGCTCCGAGTGTGGCCTCCTAAGGAAACTACCTGCTTCGGTTTGGGTAGTATCATAGCCTACACACAAATCAAGTGACTTGTGTGGCGTAAATGCGTTCGATGCCCCTTCGTGTCAATATTTGTATTTTCAAATAAATAAACAAATAAAGATTCATTTACTTCTTGTATTCATTCAGATTTTGTAACTTAAATTTTACTGCACGAATACTTTCTTTTCTCCGTAATCATGTCGTCTAATGCTTGCTTACTAACACGGATGCTGTTACTAATTCTACTACTCTGGTATTTATCTTGATAATTTCATCTCATTGTGTTGACATAATGTTACAACTCGAACTGATGAATACATGTACTAGGTTCTACGTTGCTTATAACTGATTGGGAGATTGAAACGCATATTCAGATTCGCCAAAAAAACATTCTCAAAATTTCGATTATCTCTTTCAGATTTCACTGTTTTACAATTTTTTTAATCGTCATGTGATCAATTTGAAACTGTATTCAAGTGTAAAGATTAATTACCGGATTTACTGAATAGTCCTATTAACACCTTGTTTCACAGTTGTACTAATAAATTACCATGGTAAGTTAATAACTGAAATTCCACGTTTATGATTAAAACATTATTTTAAAACCAATTTTCATTGGGATCTCTATAAACTTACTCATTTATCCCATGGATCTTTTAGACTTTCTTCACTAATCAGACGATTTTTTTATCACTACTTAACTGTTGGAAAGGATAGAAAGTTGACTAATATTTCATTGTCGTATATTGATTAGATGCTGACATCACCGCTAAATATCGTTACATGCCGATCTATCAAACATATTATTTTGTTTTTTTTTCAAGTTGAAAGTTTTTGCATAAAAATACATTCATTTTTGTATGAGTTGTTCGAACTCATCTATTGTTTTTTATTACGGGATAGTATAACTCCCAACAAGTTGTCGCAACTAGTATTGTTAGACAGATCAATTATTCTAATCATTCCATTTATTTTTTCAACCAAATATTTGACTTTGTCAAGTACTCACGTGTGTACTTTGGAGATGTTTTATACTTGTGCATAAGATAGCAAATATAGATAAAATTATATTATGCCGACGGCCTTGAGTTGACCAGTCAGAATTAAGATAATGACTTGAGTATATTGTGCGAAGTCTAAAATCTAGTGGAAGATCATGTGTATGTCATTATCAACCAAGTGAAAATTGGCACTATTTGGTTTTCAAAATGTTTGGAACCAATGAAAATATTTGCCAAGCAACCGAAGAGTGAGTTTTAGACGGTGGCTAGGTTAAGTTACAAAACATACCTGCTCTCAAGGCCGATTGTGTTTTAAAGAACGTGATGTCGTTTATTGTGTTATCAAGTGTTCAGTGAGTTTGATCATATTCTCAGTTTCCTAATCTTACTCAAAATCTCAATCCTAAGTTTCTCAGTTTTGTAAAGAGGAAGGTAAGAAGGCAATGGATTATAGATGGTGTCAGTTCGTGTTGAAAATTGTGACCCTTATTAGTAAGCCTAGCTCATAACTAACCCTAATCCTAATGCATTATAACTGATGTCAGTTTATGGAAACTCTGTATGATAATAAAACTAATCCACAACATTAGTCCAACTATTCATATGTATGTCTATAAGTAAACTTGCCTTTCTTTACTACAAGGAATAATCTGACTTGTGAGGGTTAATTATTACGATCAAAGTTGTTATTTCACTACTTTCTATTGTTAATTGTTTCATACATAAGCAGCATTTCCTGATAGGCTAATAGGTTGCCCAAGGTCATCATTATATTATACTTCCACCCACGTATGGACCTATCCATTTCCTGTATTTCTTATATAACTTCTAAGAACTGAGTCATCTCTGAGTTGATGTATTATTAAACTCCAATACTTTATGTAATTTCAGCAGCTTCTGCTTTTTGTCTATCGTTCAATATAATTAACACGTCTGAAATGTATGTATTCTAAGTACAATTCATATTCCACTTTTGATACCGCTGCTTTAAACATATTAGGTCGACGGAACATATGCCAAGTAAATAGGACATATATATCATTAAAATCATTACCATTCAATAATTACAGAGTCAACGATAGGCGCTAAAGAGCTAATAAATTTTAGTCGCTTGAATAGTTGACTATTATTTAGTTACATTGTAACATATTCATAGCATCAATTTACTGATATTAAATTAGGGTCTATAGTAAAATACGCTTGTGATATAACATAAATACAAGACAGACAGCCACAGGAAAGCAGGGAGCATTGAACAACTGTTCTAACCTAATACTCAGCTCATCAGAAATGCATAACTATGATGTGACAAGGACTGGTATTATTAATTTTCTGAATAAAGTCAATCTGTGACATAAACTACTATCTTTATACTGAACAGTAGTTGAAAACATCATCTAGTGAAAAAACTTTATTTATTTCAAGACGATGAGTAAATAAATATACAGAAAATATCTTGTCCCACCTTCGTTTGATATATGAATCGCTTCTTGTTACTTAATCATCTAAGTTGTTTACCACAATGAGACAAAAATTATTTTTCCACCGTAAAGCAAATAAATAAACATTGGGAAACGATAATCAGATGAAATAAACAGGGACAATTTAAAGATATTGTAAACAAGAAGGCTGATTTAATTAATATCACCATAATTAAGCCAGGTTATATATATATATAATACTGAACTGGCCTAGACAAGAATATATGGCCGGTAACCTTGTCTAGACGAGTAATCTACTCACAGTGACCTCGCCCACATTTAGATCACTCACTTACCAAGTGTTTTTCTACAAAGCATGTGATAGGTCCAGCCTAACCTCAAGCATCCCTAACTAGGATTCTAAACGATATAATTTCAGTTTGAGAAGGAAATTTGATTACATTTGAGGTGTAGATTCCCAAAATTTGATAAGTGTAAAAACTTTTAGGTTCATGACTGAACGAAATCTGTTTCAAAAACTAGATTAATTTTTTATGAAAAATGTTTTAAAGAAAATATATCAGTAATAGATCAATAATATTTACCATCTTAGTAAATGGACTGATTGATTCATAGATTGTACCACAATGTGACATTGATTGACTCAACAAGTATCGATCAATTAATATTTTTTTATAATTTCCAGGAGATGTTACACCACCATTAAACATCGCCGGCGTCGAATTAGACATCTTACAAAACTCAGCATCTGCATTCGATCGACTAGTAACTGAAGTGTTTGTAGACAGTGACTGATAGCTTCGATTATTATTATTATTATTATCACTATTAGTATAAGTAACGTCAATGGTAGAAGTAGTAGTAATCGAAGTATCACCACTGTAATTTGTAAGTTCACTAATTGCTAACATGGAATTTGTCTTCAGAATACTGTCCACAGTTTGATTAAGGTTAATAATTGCATTCTGGAAATAATTCGTATTTGAAACGAAATCGTCATCTAAAGAACATAAGAAAAAGGAAGATGCAATTACGAAAAAATATATTAACAGATTTATTTAGATCAAAATATCTTATAGCCTTTGTAAGTAAAGTATTTTATATCAATCCATAAAAAAACATACAGATATTATGTTCTCCTTAACTCTTTAACTTGTTTCTAAGATGGCATTGCAGCCTAGAGCTCTTCTCAGGTTACTGTCGGTCCCAAGTAAAGGTAAAGAAGGAGGATCGCGAATACGGTCAGTAACCATATCTTGTAGAAAACAACCTTACTAAAAACAAACGCTAACCAGATTAAATAAACTAAACCATTCAAACTCTGTACACCGAGTTAAGCGATCATCATTCTGAAGAATTATAACGTCTCATGGTGAAAGCCGAGATTCTTCATAAGTTACGAAGCCGATGCCACTCCTAATAACCAGAGCAACAATTAATATAAGTATATGGAATGTCTAGATAATGTGGGAGACAGGGAGAACCAACCAAATAACTGCGAAAATGAAGAGATACAACTTCACAGTACTCGAAATCAGCGAAACCCATTAGACCAAAGCTGGACAGAAAGGATTACCTTCTGGAGAGATGCTATTTTACTCGGGTCACGAAGAAGAAAACGTCTCGTACACACAAAGAGTTACACTGGTGCTGTCCAAAGAAGTACGAAATGCACTTATAGGATGGGAATCTCATAGATGCAGGATCATCAAAACATCCTTCAAAACAAAGGAGGGAATCGCAATGTATGTTATCTAATGTTATGCACTCACTAATGATAGCATTGACGACGATAAAGATCAGTTTTATGAGAGTTTGTAATCGGTCATAGCGAAGTGCTAAGGAAAGGACCTCACCATCCTGATGGGAGACCTAAACTTCAAAGTCGAAATGGACAACACCAGGTATCAAGATATCATGGGACAATATGGAGTAACTGAGAGAAAGGAACAAGAATGGTGACAAATCTGCAAATTTATGTGCACTCAATAAAATGGTTATAGGTGGTACAATATTCCCACACAAACGCATACACAAAGCTACATGGGTCTCATCGGTGTACCTGAGAAGGTAGTCAACATCATCCGGAATTCATACGACGGACTACACTGCAAAGCCACGTAGGGAGAACAGTTGACAGATGCGTTTCAATGAAAAACTGGTATCAGACAAGGCTGTTTATCACCACCCTTTCTCCCTGTTCTGGTGGTCGATAGGATTATGAAAACCTTATCTGAGGGGAAGCACGGAATACAATGGGCAGCGGCAATGCAACTAGACGATATAGTCTTCGCAGATGACCTAGTCCTTCTATCCCATACACACGAGCAACTGCATTTCAAGATGGCCTGTGCATCAGAAACGTCTGAAGAGGTCAACATACACAAGGGAAAATCAAGATCCTCAAATACAACACGGAGAGGAAATTCGGAAAAGACTCTGGAGGTGGATTGGACATACATTGTGAAAATCATCGAACTGCATCACGAAGCAAGGGCTAACTTGGAATCCTGAAGACAAAAGGAGAAGATCAAGACCAAGGAACATACTGTGTCGAGAATTGGAAGCAGACATCAAAAGAATAAATGGCAACTGGAAAGGATTGCCGAGGACAGAGTTCGATGGAGAATGCTGGTTGGTGGTCTATGCATCCACACGACACATAACAGCGTAAGTAAGTAAGTAAGTAAGTAAGGATAATATTATTTCGTTGGAATACCGAACATTAGCTATTTTAAACAGGCTAATGATCTAACTTAACAATAAGAATGCCAAAAATTTAAATCCATTTTTCTTTCCCTAGTGCAGTCTTTCTCCTACATATTACCAAATCTGAATTAACTACTTTTATGAATCCGGTGTTCATCTTGCTGTGCTAATGAGGTATGGCAACCTGGACCGATGCACATATGTGCCTGGTCCTACGTTGTAACTGACTGACTGACTGAGTGCACTGATCACTTCTACTACTGCTACTCAACACTATTGCATTAGCATTATTAACGCTTTTAAAATCTAAGCAAGGTGCCCTATTTTGTTATCTAGACTATCGGAATATTATTATGACACTGATTCATCTTGATTTATGTGTACTGCATTTTCTGATAAAAAAAGACAGGATGTATTATGAACATGACGGATCTTTAATAATTTCTTAAATTCCTTAAATTTTGCTGAGTTATAATGAAAGGATACTGAGTCAATAGGATCCTCACAAACAGTTTAGATCCTGGTAATATATATATATATATTCATACGGTTTTGTCCAAGTTTAGGTCTCCCATCAGGATGGTGAGGTCCTTTCCTTAGCACTTCGCTATGACCGATTACAAACTCTCATAAAACTGATCTTTATCGTCGTCAGTGCTATCATTAGTGAGTGCATAACATTAGATAACATACATTGCGATTCCCTCCTTTGTTTTGAAGGATGTTTTGATGATCCTGCATCTATGAGATTCCCATCCTATAAGTGCATTTCGTACTTCTTTGGACAGCACCAGTGTAACTCTTTGTGTGTACGAGACGTTTTCTTCTTCGTGACCCGAGTAAAATAGCATCTCTCCAGAAGGTAATCCTTTCTGTCCAGCTTTGGTCTAATGGGTTTCGCTGATTTCGAGTACTGTGAAGTTGCATCTTTTCATTTCCACAGCCACTAATTTATGATCCCCAACCACTATGTAAACAATGAAGACAAACACTAAGTACGAAGTTTTACGTCAAAGGTCGATTAGTGATCTTTACAACTCAGACGTGTATAAATATTCCAATAATGCCCAAACGGAGACATATGGTCAGCGACTCTGATTAGATCGATCATTGTCTTAATTTCAATGGATCACTCATATTTATGTTTAACATTCTATATAGCTTTATGAGTGACCACTGCGGTTTTTGTTACCCGATATATTTACACTTCACTATATGTTTGCTATAATATGCATAACATCAAACTATTTTAGATACTGTTATGAGGATTGCCATTATAAGATTATGTAAATAAATTGAATGAGTAAGCGAAAATGTTAATTTGTTCATGTTACATAAAATATTAACTAAGTTTTACACTTACATAATGGTTTTTGTCGTTGTTGTTGTTGTTGTTGTTGTTGACACTGTTGTCCTTCAAGTCGATCAGTCTCCAACTTCATACATTGACGCCTTCTCCATCGTCTCATATATAATGATGATGTTTTTAAGGCATTAGAATTTAGACAATCCGGTAGTAGAGTTGTGCACTTTATTCATGAATTGTATTTTCGATTATTAAATAAAACAGTAATTTTAAAAACAAAACACAGAATAATACTCAGCAAAATAGACATTGACCTTTCGCTTCATGATAATATAGTGATTTATGGGAAAAAAATTTGTGCGAAAAACAATACTAATTAATTTGATAGATAGATACCCAAGACAACTGTTCCTTAACTGCAATGACTATTGAAACCTATCAACTAATGTTGGGTGATTTGGAGCGATTTGTAGAGAACCTTGGACCTAGATTTTGTGCTAGTTGGGACTTAGTTCTATGGTCACCTGCTGACTGTTTTTAACCATCTAACACTGAAACAGAATGCACGAAAAATAGGAAATATTCATGGGCAAGAGTTTAATGATTGTACATGAACTGTCTAAGCCAGATCCGTGAAGATACGACGTTAAAGGTGAACAGAACCCTATGGACTATGCTTCTCGTAAACGATCTCTAGATAACGAAATAAAAATCAATGACCAAAACTCCTATGGGGAAACAAGGATAAGTTTCTAAGCTTCGAATAAGGTGAGAATATTGTTGTAGAGCATGTCAGAAGATAAATAAATACAATATTTAGCACGGTTATGGATGGGTACTTCTGAAAAGTCACAAACTACGATTAAAACAGCTGTTACCTGGTTCCTAAAAGCTCTTTACTAGACGTCAGTTTAGGAACAAAACTTACATCGAACTGTAAAACTTCCGTGTACGTTTTAATTACCGGATGTTCGATATTTTTTGTTATTGAAAAATATCAGAACCGGTGGACTTTTGTATGAGATTCTATGTCAGTTAATCTGTTTACTAATGAACATCTTTTCAAGTAAAATTTCAAAATCGAGACAACCAAGCTCAAGACTATTAACCAAAATACATAAACTAATAAGTGAAATATGAATTAATCTGTAAACAATGTTGAATTAGATAACTATACTATGCAGAGGGTTTCGGTCACTTCTTAATAAGAATATACGTGACTTTATTATACAAAGGAAAATATGATGACTTTATATATTCAACAAAAGCCAAATTCTTTTGCATGGCCATATTTCATTTAAAAAACAATTACCAATGCGGTTTACATTACCTTTTACAAACAATAATCCCAGATTTTAGGTTTCATGTATCATAATCGTAAATGTTTATGTCAAGGAGAGAAAATATGGTGAATTATGAAAAGCCAAGTGAACATATCACGTGTTAATTTCAAGAACAAAAAAATTGATCAACCATAGTCGTTATTCCTAATATTCGACTGAGGATTACCTATACTATACAACATAGACAAACAGAAACTCTGGGAAACTCCAGAAATTGATCCATTAATGCTGTTTGTCAGTGTGATTTATTAAACTTCCAAATCATTACTAAATATGGTAGATTTTAAAATCTTCCAGAACTCAAAAGTTGAGTGCAACTATATAATCGATTACTCGAATTTTAGTTTGACAAGACAACCGATTTAAGAACCTTGAACAGATGGACTATGGTTTGAATTGCCAAAACACATCAAAATAAACAATAAGATAATCGAAATAATAGTAGTATCTGTGGTAGAAATAACTAGTTTTGGCTGAAGAGGATATCGTCTAAACTAAAACCAGAGGGCTTAAAGTTAAAACTAAAGACAAGTAAAACGATGAACCCTCAACCAACCAGCTACCTGTCTAATATAATATTGTACTAAAACTTAAAAAATACATATAAATTTCAGATAAAAGGTTTAATTAATAGAAGAAAGTTTGTATTTTCCAAAAAAACCAATAAAGTTAACAATGAGCATACCTGAAAGTTAGTTGATGCAGAATTCATGTTTAGATTTGTTGAATAAGTTAACCGCTATAATCCAAATCCATCCATTATATTTGGTTGAATGTTTAGGCAAATGTCCCAAAAAAACAGAGCAATTGACCTATTTATCGACGAAACCAATCAGACAATAAGCTAGATATATAAATAAAACAGGATGAATAAAAAAAGTCGAAGTGATTGTAGAGAATAATTTATCAACAAATTTTAAAAATAAGAATGAGTAACACTAATATTTCGTATACATTTCATTTGTAAGGGTTTAGATTTGTCCGTTTTTTATGTTAAGTAAGATGCAACTGATCAGTCTATATTAGTAGATGTATATCATCAGCGGATTATCTCGATACTGACATTAAATAACAGGTTTATTTAAACAGTTTTGATAGTGGATAGCAGTGGAATTTAGAATGTGAGTTACGTGCTATTTTGGACACTTCGGTTGGATGTTTTTGCAACTTGCACGAATTTCGTATAAATGTTTCTGAAACATGCAGTGAGACTTTATGAATGACTAACTTTTTATGCATTTAAGACCACTTATCATTATTATAAAACTAGGCAGTGATTCAAACAAGAACAATTTGAAAATGTATTAGTCAAAAAGTAAAAAAAACTTTCTTTCAAAGTTTATCAAACTCTTCGCATTTATCTGACGCTTTTGTTTAAAAAGACATTTGCATACTCTAAGTTGATCAAATAAACGTAGAACGTGAACTAATAAAATTCTTTAATTCGGAATTAAATATCTAGCATAACTTCGATTGTTCGATACTAAGTCAAGTGAAAAAACCAAACCATATCCCAGGTGAATTAAAATTAGTGGTCTCGGAATGATTATTTTTACTTAACTAAGCTAAACATAGTTATGTAGAGTTGGCTGTAATGAGAAGCAATCAGTAGCCTGTTTTTTTCGTTTATTTACCAATTGAGTAAGACAGTTAAAGGTTGAAAACTCATCAGTAATCAATATTTCTATTTAGGCTGGTAGCAAATCTAATGAGCCTGTTTGAAGGGTGTAAGTTTGAACCGATTTAAAGCTGAAGTTTCCTGTTGACTTAAATTAGTATGTATTTCTAATAATAGCAGTGCTCATATCAGAATACTAATGAAATATTTCGATCGAAACGCTACAATAATCTGATTCCAATGTATTCTTTAGAATAATTTTGCGATATAAATAATTCAATTTCCCCTGTACTAACAGACATTATATTGTTCTAAACAACTTGCTGGTTGGAAGTCATGTGATTTAACTACTATCCCACAGCTCAACAAATAGAGGAAAATTCCATTTAAGAACACGAACGGTTCATCGATGTGTACTCAAGCATAGATTCACATAGTAAGTCAGTCAGTCAGCTACAACGACTGACTGATTCACATAGTGTTCTTGTCGGCAATAAAGTGTTAAACCAGTTTAGCAGAAACAGGACCCGATATATCATCCATTCGATTGGCTTTAACATGGAACAGAAATTGTTTATAATAATTTTTGGATTTGTTCTAGGTTAACTGATAACTTTGGCACTACATATCGACGATACAATGTCAATAAAAATGATACAATCAATCTATAGAAAGGACTTAATATTCAAAAAAGATAAAACAGTTACTTGTGTATACGCCTGACAATCACAACTCACAAAAAATTTTATTGATGTCAGAAATAATAATAAATTTACCATGCTTCTAATTTACGTCAGTGATGTAGCACTGACCTTAATATAGGACAAAACAAGAGAAATCTATGTGACGCAAATGGTAAGTATGAATTATTTTCAATTTATTCATAAATTGTATGGCTTTCCTCTCTTCATACACACAATCTGATTAGGAGTTACAGGAAACAATCCAAATCTGAGAAAAGAAATAGATTGGTATTTTCAAGATCGAATTTAACTTGCACATTTTTACATAAACGTTGCTTTTCTTAATGTACCACCTTTCTAGTTTCTGTGTTTGCGCTAATATTTTTAAAATTCTCATTACAAGTTGAGTGTTTTAACAGGCCAAAAGGAAATACTTATTTAAGTTAGCTTCATCAGTTAAAAACGAATGAAAAGAATTCAACCAATATGGGGTAATAATAGAGATGGCCATATTTTCATAGAATACAATAAACTGTTCTTTATCAACAAGTAAATTATTTTGTTTGGTAACAATTTAGAAAAAAAAACAATTTGCAAAATTATAATTTTCTTGATGCTTATAGGTGGTGTGAAGTGAAATCATCTTGAAGATTACACACAACTATATTAATTATACTTTAACAATAGGGATTTTTGGGTATTCAAAAATGAATGCTTTACACTAAAATAATTTATTTTTAAACAATGTTGAATATGAAATTTTAATTCGAACAATAAAGCTATTTAAATGCGTGTATATTGTGTAATAACACAAAGTAATTAGATAAAACGTAGCTGAAGTAATAAACATTAAATGTATATGTATACTTCCCGATCAATGAGACAATCAGTCTAGGATACATACCCTATGCTATGCTTGAATAATAATTACAAAATTAGACTCAGGCACTAACAACTTAAAACTTCGTACGGACGTACATCAGTTCGAGTTGCCATACCACATTAACATAGAGATGCAGTTGTCGATTCAAATCCCGTAGTGGTAGAGGTAGTAAAAAAATTAGACTACAAACGATAATAGCAAAAATTAACCGATAACATGCGTTTTGAGTAAACTCTACTATACATATTCCCTTAAAAGACTGACCAACTACAGTCCTAAGCGTCAGTACGAGGATTCAAACAACCAATATGTATGAATTAAAATTCACCTTATTGCACAAGCCAGTGGCTATATGGACTCAGTAGCTAAGTAGGTAATGCGATGGTGTTTGAAGTGAACGGTACTGGGTTCGAGTGTGAGGGTGAACATTATCATTGGGATGTAGGTACATCCAGCTAAAGAGTCCCAAATAACATGAAAGGCGCGTCCTAGATTCCACTGCTAGCTACTGTCTATTTCTACTAAAAATGCCTGTGACTTAGTGCCAACCCCAACATGGTAATATAGAGGCCATTAGTACACGATGCACATATGCCAAAAAAGACCGACCAATTGAAGTCCTAAACATTAGTGAGAAAATTCAATATTAACAATTAATTGATGCTTTCAGCTGCATATGACAGTATTCACACCCTGAATTCTTCCAAAATTGTGTTTCATAATGGTCATTTAATAGGATATTCCAGTAAACACAACTAGCAATTAAATGTGGATGGATTAGCTTTGAAATAAAGTAGATCAATATTAACTGAAAACAGTAAACCAAATATATGTGGTTTGACTAATCTGTGATTATAGCAAAATAATAACATGGCTAAACTTCAGATCAAAAAGCAATTTACCGCATTAAAAAAAATTATTTCGAACGCTTTTGTATACAAATGAAAGGCATCAATAAATTTCTAAGAATTCATACTAGGAAAGTATTATATATAAAAAAAGCAACTTTAAATACAAGTAGATCCCCCCGCTACAAATGAATTAATATGACTGTGCAAACATTTTCCACTTATATTACAAATTCAACTTTACACTAAAAGAAACCCTCTCAAGTCTGTAAAACTCAAAATGAATTTAGTAACATCAGTGTACGCATGTAAACCTAAAACGGACATTAAAAGAAGTAGTGTTTGCGTGGAGAAAATTGATTTATTTCATCAATCATTTATGTACAACGTAGAATTTGACACGTGTGTACATTGGTCCCAGTTATGATTAGGACAGTGAGATAAAATAATCACGATAAATTGTGGAGTAGAAGTAGTGACAGTATCAGTAGTAGTAGAAATTTATTAGCTTGTTTATTTAATTTACATAAAATCAGATACAACTGGTGACCAAAACTAATATGCACCACGTAAAAAATAATCTAGATGCACCCGAACCCAAGTTGGTTACTTTTGGGGACAGAGTCTTCGAAGTTTTGACCGAGGGGTTTAATCGATAAGGCAATGGAGCAACATGAAGACGCCGTCCCATGACACGTGAAGGACAAAAGAAATTTCATACGTCATTCGTCCTGTTATGAATCTGGAGATCATGTGTATTATCAGTTTGTAATCAGGGTTTTTTAACTCTTCTGGGTGAATGCTCCATATCTACCAACGCGATGTAAGCCCCACAAGCTCCATTTCTATTTTTTTTAAATTTCGTAGACAACACCCATGCCGCATGAAGCCAGTAAGAAGGGACTCACCTGGTAGATGCTACAAACGAATGGCTATATGAGAAGGTTACTAGGTGTATAGCGGGATCACCTCAATTTCGGCAGCATAGATGTATTCAAAGGGTTATGAAATGAAAAAATCAAACTTATATCCAAAGCTGATGTAAAACATTTAAAAATCCATTGATTATCACTTCTGTGCTAAATTCGGATGCATTTCCCCAAAACTCAAATTGTAAAACCGCATACTAAAATATGTTTCTACAACAAAAGTCCACATACACTGTTTTTCGTATATTATAAACTAATATGTGTTCCAGTGTACACTAAATTAAACATTCTTACATCTGGGTTGTTTATTATTGTAAACCCGATCTACACCTGATGTTTGTGGAGAAAAACATGATTTATGATGCACTAACATTAATTCACACTAAGCATCTGCGTCACAAATTTTTTACCGCGTTTTCCTAGATTAAAACAAGTTGTACTACGTCATTATTAATAGTTAACAGATAGTATGTTGAGCTTAATGTTGCAACTTATACTTTTAAGACGTATACAACGAACTACTTTAGTCTTTCTTGGATTTTCACAACACTTTTTGATACATAGATTGATTATATTAACTTTTCCTGAATCATATTAACGACAGTTTGGAGGTGATTAATATTACGTTATTTAAGTATATATATATATATATATATATATATATATATATATATATATATATATATATATATATATATATAAAATAGCCGCTGAACATATAGATTCGTTCAGTCATTTCTGTGTCGCGACAAGCAAGTGAAGGCGATGAACATAAATACCAATACGTAGACTTTTTAAGTTGTCGACATTAAGGAAAAAGCTTTGTTCGCTTACATATGTACACGTAAATCAACAAAGCCTTTCACTTATTTGGATGTTTTAATCATTCTAACAATAACATTATGGATATCACCTATAAAGAATATATATAAAGTATTACAACAAGAAGGTAACAATGAATACGTTTTTATAAAAACTAGCAGTGAAACTTATTCATTGCTTTGAAAGTTATCTAGTTTAAAATAATGATTGAAAGTTGATCAGTTAAACAGGTTAACGACTGAATACTAAGCAGCAACATTCAGTTATTTTATTTGATTCAAGACTTATTGAAGTTATGTAACTTAGGTAGTTTAGAAACTAAATGCAAACTATTCATAGATTGTGAGCAAAATGTTATACGGAGAACAAGATTACAAATAATCTATGGTAGGAAAAATCAAAAGCTCCATAATAACTGACTACTTAATTGATACATCAAATTACAACGTTATGTAATTAGCTCTGTTATGTCCGAACGATGAATAAATGGGTGGTAACTCCCAGGAAAGATTTATAGGCTATTATTATATATATTCCTATCGCATATGTTATATCTGAACGAAGAATAAATAAATGATAATTGTTAGGAGTGATTACGGACTATTATTACATATATTCTTACTGGATATTTAAGTAACTAGACTATAAACATATCTTTTATCATAAGCTTTCACTTGACCTATCATGAGTGCTGTTAGAGGTATGAGGGCGGTTATCACTTCTTAGTTGCCCACACCACGGAAGGGTGTTTCTGGAGGTATCTGAAAAGGAAATTGGTTTAGAGATGGTCTTAGTAACCTGAGCGTGGCCACAGGGCCCAAGAAACAACTGCCTGGGGTCAGTCACACACGACCTTTTTGTGAGTTTTCGTGTTAGCTCCGTACTTGTTGGGACCTTACCGCCGGAGATGTAATTCCATGGGATAAGACGAGATGGGCATTTTTAAGGTCAATCTTTCCTAACCCCGCCCTTCCTTGTAAGAGAGCAGCATCGATGTTATTCTGGTTGTCCGAAGGAAACACCTTACTGCCATCACATCACTGTACAGTCAGCAGTACAACTTTTCCCTCGGACCTTGGGTTCGCTTCTTTTGGTTTTGCCGCTCTTCAACCGACCTGTCTGGTATGGTAGGGCTTTGAGGCACGATTGTTCAAGCCAGTATAGTTCCATTGGTTCATTACAATAGGCAAGTCTGTTGGGATATTCAGGAAAATATCCCAAAAATTATTCTATTAGGTCTAATGCTATCCTTGGACTTGAGATGGTGTCATTTTCTTATTGGTCAATATTTATTTCACGTGTCATTTTCCTACTGGTCAATATTGTACAATGTTATTTTCTATTTTGTGGTACGATGTGGTCTGCTTGATTGGTATATAA